CCCAATTAAATCCAGGTACGTTAAGATCCATTCAGACTAGGATACCAGGCTACTCTGGGAACAGGAAGCTCCAGGAATCTTCAACTCTGTCTTCCTCGGGTACTATCATTAGGACTTTCTCTTTGCAGTACTGGGGATTGAACCCACAGCCATTTTCACTGAGTTACATTTCCAGCCTTACTCTTTAAAATTTTTAATTTCAAGGCAGGGGCTTGCTAAGCTGCCCAGGCTAGACTCAAACTTGCTATCTTCCTGCCTCAGTCTTCCAGAGTTCTAGTGAAGGTATCAGAATCCTTTGGTGAGGACAGCCTTGCAGATCCTTGGGTTAAGAGTCCCAACCACCCAGTCTTCTCGATAAAAGTGTGTTTTATCGAGATTTCACTTTAAGAAGATCTAGTGTTCCCGGAAAGATATAAGGACTGTTAGGCACCCTTGCCAGAAATGCCACTCATTCAACAACCCTGTGGTCATTTTTCAGAATCCAGTTGAAGTGACTAAGGATCAGAATTTGGTGTAATTTGAAAGCCCACTCTGCACAACTTCAGATCAGGATCACAGTTCAGACATCATTAGGATGTGGCTGTGATCTGGGGTTTACTTAAAATGGTGCTGGCAATATACTGTCATCACAAGAGACCACTCCAACCCACAAGTGGTTATCTGGAGTCCTGGAGTGAACCAATGGGGGAAACAAGTAAATCCCTTCCAACTACAGGCTAGAAGGTCAACACTAGCAGCTGAAGATTGGTCCAATTTTACTATCTGTTTCCAGTTAAAAAACTAAAATGTGGATCTCATCTGTGGGCTTTGCCAGACTTGCATTAAAATCTCAGGCCTGCCACTTTCTACCAGTGGTATCTAGGTCTCTTCTGTAAGATGGGGGCAGTACCATCCATTCTACAAAGCCTGCCACAGGATTAGAATGGTGACGTCTTTAACACGTCTGAACCAGTGTCCAGTTATTGTCTTAGACACAGCAGCACTGGTCTATCTGGACTTGCCCCTGGCTCTGTTTCTGAGTAGCTGTGTGACTTCAGGTGAATCTTCTGACACTTCCAGCTTTTCCTCTGTATATCTATCAATCAAGAAGTTTGGACCACTCGACCATATCTTGGATAGTGCTGTACTTAAAAATTTACAAGTAGCACTGAAGATGAGAATTGCAGGTGGCAGAGCTCTGTAGCTGCTTCCCAGAGCCCCTCCTGCTGCGTTTGATCCCTTGTTGAAGTTATGAAGTAGCCAGTAAATGTTGATCTCAGCATCCCAACAGATGCATACTGGGGAATTACAGTGGGTTCCTTTCAGCTCCTGCACCAGGATAGGGGTGAGTGGAAAATAAAAGCCCAGAGGGTGCCAAGTATGAGAGAGCAAGCTTATAATAATGCAGTCTGAGCCTTTACTTCATCATTATGTTATATCAGCTTTGTAAGGACACACATTAGCTGTTGGCATGACTCATGAGATGCTGCCTGTAAAGTACTTTGCAAACATTGCCAAAGATTAATGTTAACTACTTATTTGATAAACACTTACAGAGCTCTCTCTAGGTGACGAGTACTTCTCTCGGTCCTTCATTAATATTAATTTGATCATTATGAATACCCTGTGTAGCAGGTTGTATTATTACCCATTTCTTGTAAGGACTGAGGCACAAAGAGATAAATATTCTTACTTAGGGTCACATGGCATGTGGTGGGGAATTTAACCCTAATCAATCTGCTTCTAGATTGTGCTTTTAATCATTACATCAAGTAGTATTACATTAATATTACAGAACTTGGCTAAAATGACCCACAGTCACGTTAAGATGAATTGGTCTTCCCAACAATCCTGAGAGACTCATTTACAGAGTAAGTGGATCAAGGCAGCAGAGGAAGCCATGATCTACTGAGAAGCCATACACTGCCTCGAAGGCAGCACTAGAGAGAGGAAGGGCAGCTAGCAGGCTGCCATCTGTTCTTCTGAAACTGCTTCAACCTCTCAATTTCTCATGCCTCTCTAACCCCTCTTGATCTAGCCATCATCCACGGACCCACACTGTTGGTTTGGTTTGTCGTTAGATAGTAAGTGTACTTCAGGTATGACTTGATTCCATACTATTATATGTTTCCTCATTTCCCACTTCACAAAAGGGCACAGTAAGTGCTCAATAAACACTAGATCATTATTCTTCATTGACTACTCATCATGGGGAGAAGTTGCTGGTTTAACAGTGAAGAGATCCCTGCCTCCCTAGGCAGCCACCAAGGGAGACTGAACACATCAAACATTTGGGTAATCTAGGACCTACCAAGTCCAGGCTTGCTGGCAGGGTCCTACGTCTCTAGGGTCTCCTTCCCTGAAACTCTTAAAGCCATCCACTCAATCTCTGCTGCAGGTGACTTTAAAAAATATTCAACAGGCTTCTTGGTTCTCCTTTTAATTCAGTGCTCCAACAAGACTCAGACTTATTCTAAGTTAAATAACATATTTTATCTATCCCCAAGTTCCCTTACTTAGTCATCTATTTTCTTTCAATATCACAGGAAAGAAATGAAAGCGGCAAACACACTGTGTTCTGCATTCTATTTAAAAAATTTTTCAGTAGAAAATAAAGCATAGACTCTGGAAACCTCAATAAACAAATGTGTTTCAGGAAATCATCAGAAATTAAGTATCCCTTTAATGACTGCTCAAGTTAACAAACAGAACTTTGCCAGTCACTCCAGATTTCCTTTTCCTGTGCCCCATCCTGGTTTCTCACCACCCCCAAATTAAACACTATCCTGATTTATATTACTTCTTGTATTTAAAAAAATAATTTACCACCCAACAATGTACACTAGACACTACAGTTTAGTCTTACTCATTTAATACATCTTTTAAGTTCCTTGTTTTGGCAGGTTTCTACTTCACCTGTCTTTTCTTTGTAATTTGCCCCTTGAAGAATCCTGGCCATTTGAAGGGGAGTGTTTCTCACAGTCAGAATTCTGCTGACTGTACACTCACGGTGCAGTTCAACATGTTCACACACCATTTAATACTGGGGGTGGGCCACCTCCAAGACACCTGGTACTTACTACTTGGCCAATGTTTATTTGGGCAGCTGTCCTGTGCTTTTTGGCAACAGAACAGATGGCACTGCCAGCACCAAGCTGATGTTAAAACCAACTGATGACCGAAGCACCAACACAGAAGTGAGAAGAGCTTGTATTTGGTCTGCTCTTTTGGGCAGTTAATTTATCTCCCTAAGAATATGAGAATCTTCCTTATAGGGATCTGGCAACAATTAAATGAGATTTTCGTTATAAAACTTCTTTATGTACTGCACAATGCAACACAGTCTAACAGTCACCTTTAAAAATGAACTGCTCTTCATAACATTCCATGCATGTCAGCATCAGCTCAGAAGTGTCATGATGCATTTGCAGGGAGAATTTGGTGTAAGGCAGAGAACAATTCTAGTCCAATCCAATGGCATGAGCATTATTGGAACACTAATATGACCTTGGAAATTTTTATATAGCCTACAGCAAGATTTTTGAGGCTGACAGGTTTTTGAGGCAAGCTTTTAAATCTCTTTTTAATATTTCTTCTTTGATGAATCATAAAATTTCACACAGAGGTTAAGACAAACTTACCAAATGAATTTCTGAATAACTTGTGACATTTAACTCTACTATTCCAAAGATCACTGCAACTAGAGAGAATTTCCCTACAGCTTGTGGGTTATGTTCAGAAAAGTAAAGTGATAGTAACCTAGCTTTATGCCTTGAGACGACAATCACCTGTATTCTCCAGGTCTTGGTCCTCCAGAATATGAAATTTTCTCATGGAGCCTCTTTTGGGTTCATTCAATAAATAACAGCATTAATTCAAGCTTAACCTGGAGATCTTTATGTGGGATATATTTATTTATATCTCCCTGTGTTTTTACCAGCATATAATATAAAGTTTTCTGCCTGGTCTCCCAATCAGATCACAAACTATTTAGGGTTATATCCATATTTTACTAATGTTTATACAATACATACATATGTGCCTCTACTAAAATCGATGTCTTCACCAACAAAGCACAAGAGCCCTGCAAAGATACTTTTCTTCTCATCCTGTTGATTTGTTTAACAGAGAGCTGTTGTTCTCATTAGGGGCCAGCTGTTAGTTTGTTGCACATGGAAAAGAGATTTTTTTTTTCATGTTTACATTTTTGCCTTTTAGAAGGACTGGTGACCAAAGTTAAACAGATTATATACAACTCTTTGATCTACTAAGAGACTTGAGTTGAGGCAATTACATAAACAAACCAGTAAGTTTATGTTTCATCAGTATAAGAGCAATTCCAGAGTTGCTGACAAGCTAGCAAATGGACTGACCTCAGGTATATAAAGACTGGTTATCTGGGTCCAGAAGGTCATCCAAGAAATCAGGTCACCAGATCCATTACAGGTCCCTACTGACAGCATGATGATGTGACCAGAGAACTGGAATCCCACCAGGCACCCGTGGAGCCTTATGTAGAGCGAATCAGTCCTTACCCTTGGTGACATAAAGTACCCACATGGGTACTTCCCTACATGCCTAGAGCCCAAAGTGCAGACCATAATTTTTAAATATGAAAAATAAAATTGCTATAAAGATCATAAGTCTACAGAAGTTTAGAAAGAAGATGCTATTGGGAGAGCACAGGTTACATAAAATCACAGAGGTCTTTCCTAGATTCTATAAGGCTGTACATTCATTTCATAAGAAACTGCAGTAGTCACAGCGTTACTTATGTGCTCCTTACCATCATCTATTTTGATAACCACCTCCTCCATTCATTTCCATCATTGCATTGGTTACCTTTAGATGGACAGCTTAGGAGTGGGAAAGCATCCTGAGTCCAGACCTAGTTGTCATCAACCACTGTGAATGCTCAATACAGGAAACTTATTTTCATACTGACTTAAACCTTTCCTGCACTTCATTCAGACAAGTCCTTCTTTCATTATCCTTCACGACTTCCTCGTGCTCAGGAGTACCTTCTGCTTCAGCTGCAGCACGGTCTGCTTCATCTGGTGGAATTCCTTGCACGTGGCACAGCAAGTCCCAGCTTTCCCCGTGTTCTCAGACTTCTCCTCGTGCCCTGAGAAAGGAGACAGGCTCAGTTCTGTCTAGGAAACTGGAGGAAACCCACACCCAGAGAGACTGTATTACGAAGGGCTGCCCTGGGGTGGGGTGGAATATAGGAGGGATTAAATACGGGGAATGTTCTACTTCTCAGGCCCCTTCCAGCATGCCCTGTTGTCAGGGAAGGGAGCCAAGAGGCTCCAGGTTTTCTTTGGGCTCAGCTGTTCCTATTTAAGTATCCCAACTATATAAAGATGTGGCCAGCATCCCTTTCATCAGTGCCTTTCATGTGGACATGGGAATCATGGTGTTTTTATTAGTGCCTGTCCAGAAGGCAGGTTCTATAAATCTGACATTATTTATAGTACCCTCCAAAAGGCCGATGTTCATTTCTACACATATCTCCAGCTCAGGCAATGGGACTTGCAAAGCTGGTCCTCATCACCTCTGACCATCTCTGTCTCAACAAAGGGCATAGCTGGGTTGCATGGGGCCAAGAAGTGGAGATAGGGTTAGGGTTAGAAGACAGAATGGTTAAGACAAGTATCATCAGGCAGCACAGAGAGAGTCAGAAGGTGGCACTGCCCAACAGTCCCCATTCCAGTGGAATCGATGATCAGGCTGGAATAGATGATGTCATTCAACTGTCCTTAGGTACAACTAACCAAGTACACCTGGAGCCTGTGTCGCCTTTCCGTGCAGGAATCCAACAGTCAGCACAGTCAAAGTTGGTTAAGGCTTCCATTTTTCACCACAAAATATACAACTGATACAATTCCATTCATCTGTACATCTATCTGCATCTCAAGCCACCTATCTTTCTAATCTTTTTCTGTCTGGCCACCCATCTTATCTTCCCTTTCTTCTATCTAGCTATAGAGGACCTACTATTAGTCCCTGTGTGAGGTGCTCCAAATACAAAATAAATGAAGATACCACTTTTCACAACTTACAACTGAACTTTCAGAAACTAGCCATGGTGGCAGAGCTGGGCCACAGGCACAAGAGTTAGCCCATCTCTGACTTTCTACTTTTGTTACTCAGTGAAATTTCCCAGTTGTTATAATTAAGCAATTAGACAATTTTGGGATAGGACAGACCACTGTAATCAATTTCTAGGTTCTATTTCAGGTGGATCATAGAATGTTAGAACTGAAATTTCTTTAGTTACATGTCAGAACAAGGTCTCTCATAATGCCATGTGCAGCCTATGCACTTACAGGGCCCAGCTGGCTCTTGAGAGGGTGGGTGATGTGAAATAAGCCTGCTATTAGAAGTTCTCTTGAGAACACCTCAGGGCCATCTGCAGGCTCCAAGAAGATGCTCTGCTGAGCTACCTTTTCCACAAAAAGGTCTTTATGATTTTTTTGCAGAATTATCAGAAGATAGAGAATCAAGATAATTTGTAGCATTGTCAGAAGATGGAGAATCAAGATTAATGCTATCCAGAAGACTTGAAGATCCCACTGACAATGAAGTGTACAGCAGAATAGAAGCAGTATGTGTGATGGTACATTCAGATTAGTCAGGATTTGAATCTCAGCACTGTCATTTAGTACTTACAGGTGGGCAGGGCATCTATTCCTTCAGGGGTAAAATGGTAATAGTGCCTGTCACTGTGATTGCTTTGAGGAGTCATTGAAATAAGACATGTAGGTCACAGAACAATGCCCTGCCAACGCCAAGTGCTCCACACATGGTACTCACTGTGATTAATATTATTATTACTCTTTCCCTACACAATTAGAAATGTGTGGTAAGGTACTAGAAATCATTTGTGATGGTCAAACTTGAATGTTCCAGAAGGTTTGAAGTTAAATAAGGACTCACATTTTGTTTACATGTATAAAACTTGAACATAAAACTACTCAAAACAGGGATCACCCAACTGCCTTGGAGGTACAATTTGTCTACATTAATGTCAATATAAGGCTAAAAGTAATCCAGTGTACCCTATATTAATAATTCATTTGGGCACATAAGCAGATGCCTCCCCCTGCATATTTTCAGCCTTCTTAAATTATGATGTGGCCATCTGTGTCTGGGAAAGGTGGTGAGGTATCACCTAATTTTGTTTCAATTAGACGCAGTATCATTAATTAGCCACATGGGGGCACAGAGCTCTAATCTTTACAGAAGTTGAGTGGCTTAAACATTGTATTAGAACATATCTAGTGATTTCTTACTGTTTATTTTTTTTTAAATTCTGTATTACTTGTACCCTTTTAGTTTTTTTCTTTAAATAAAATTTTTTAAAAATCTCAAAAAAAAAAAAGAACATATCTAGTGCCTTAGATATCATAAGGACAGTATCTAATAATCTTAGAAAAGTCAAAGAATGTTCTTAAGGTATTTCAACTGGGCAGTGTAGTAAGTGAACAAAGCATGTTTGTCTTCAAAAGGTGAACTGCAGATTCATGCTCTGGTGTTGGTGCTCTCAGCCCTGGAGGCACATTACAAGGTGTGTGTGTGTGTGTGTGTGTGTGTGTGTGTGTGTGTCTATGTGCGTGCGCAACCTACTGTTCACCAATTATCTGGGGGTGGCATCGAGGCAACAGTACCAGCTTGTGTTAATGATCCTCAGGTGACTCCAAGGTTGAAAACACTCATCTATAGATTAGTGGCGCTTTAGGGTTATATGAAACACCTGGCTGTTTCTGACACTTTGAACTACAGTTAAGTGACACTTGGGATTATGGTCATGTTATCAGAAAATAAACAGAAGTTGAAAAATAAAGAGCAGTAAGCTAATGACTATGGAGCCAACATACCCTTACTTTGTCTCCCCATCAGTACTACAGACTCCCTGGGGTGGTTAGGCTGGCTCCAGCCCCATGTGTTCAAAGGGGGAAAAAAATCAAAGTGACTGAATGCATATTAACCATGTCTGTGAACTGCAAACGTCAATCATCAGAGGCCAGTCCACGCCCTTTCTATTCCAGGCATTTTTTTGGGGTTTAAATTCCTCATCTACAATCTTGATATATTTGAAAATGCAAAATTTAAAAAAGGATGGAAGAGGGAGAGCTAATTTTAGATGACATGTGTTTATACTCAGTAATCATTATATCTTCATAAAAAATGACTGATGAAATACTGGGCTTATTAATTAATCAAAAGCAGACAAAACTGCTTAGCTGTGTCTGATGCTCTAGAAGGCAGGGTTATTTTTGCCCTGCATTTCTGATTGCTAAGTTGAATGTTCAGATATGTGCTTCTTCATCTTTTAGATACTGATGCAAAGTTCTCTGCTTAGAAGGTGTTGAACCCAGATGTATTTGCAAGTTTCAGTACTTAAAGGAGAGCAAAAAGGTCTGTGTAGTGAGAAAAGGTTAACATTCTCAGAACACAAACTTTTGATAACACAATTTTGTCCATGAGATACTGGACATGCATGAAACACTCTAATGATGCCTAAAAACATCAAAAACTATAAGTAAATACAAAAATAATCTTTTATTCTTCTGAGCTAGTGCTATATCTTTCCCCAAAAGGTTTAAACATACAAATACTCTTGTCTAAATTTAAAGAGCCTTTTTGAGGCCTAAGCAAGAGGCCTTGACAATTTGATACTTTGATGTACAACCTTAGACACAATACAGGTATTCCTGAACAATTAAAAACAGGATCCCCTGGAAAGTGCATTTCTAAATTGTTTCTATTTGCCAGCTCAGACTCTTTCCCATGTCTCCATCCTTATAAAAACCCTAGTCACTCCCCCTGACTGGGTGATTCCTCTCTGGAAACTGGCTCCCTACCCTGCCTGACAGTATACTCAGTGTTCTAAATAAGCTTTTGCCTTTCCTGTTGTCCTTTCCTATTGACAAACTCTTGTCACTGCCTCTGTCACTGGCCCTCTCCACTCTGTCTGGCATGGCCGGTTGCATGGGGAATCCTAAGATTGGCAAGCAATCCTAAGGCTAGGAAAATATTATATAAGATCACACCAAGTTTTGAAATATTTTGGAGGGTAAAAGGGTCTTCAGAACTCATGGAATTTAACCCTTTTGTCCAAAGAGGAGAAAACTCAGAAAATAAACAAAAATAAAGACTAGTAAGCCAGTGAGTACAGAGCCAACACACCCTTACTTTGTCTCCCTATCAGTAGAAGAGGAATCTGTGTCAAGTGGGACCTCTAATTCTAGATTTTTGAGGAATCTCCACACTGATTTCCACAGTGGCTGTACCCTCTACACTCCCGCCAACAGTGGAGAAGGGCTCCTTTCTCTTCCACAGTCCTGCCAGCATTTATTATTGGTTAATTTGTTGAAGATAGTAATTTTTTCTGCGATGAGATGGAATCTCTGTGTTTTTTTATTGTGGGAAAATCCCCAAGCCCAAGCTAAACCAAAAGGATGACTCTTTGAGCCAAGGAGATAAGAAGGTAGTGTTTAATCTTTCGCCAGTGGACAGTTGAATCTTCACACCTGTGCACTGTTGCGGGCTAGTTCCTCAAAGGCAACAGCTGGGAGTTCACAGAGAGTTTAGATAGAATTTAGAAGTGGGAGATACAAAGCAAGCAACAAAATATTAGGTAGTTGGTTACATGCATTTAGTCATATATTGAAAAGTATGCTAGCCTTGAACAGATTTGTTGAAACAAAGGACTTGTTCATCATAATATAGAAACACTCCAGGAACAAGGAGAGGGGGCCCTTAAAGGTGAAACATTCCAGGAATAAGGGGAAGGAGCACTCACAGGATGAGCAGAGTTAATGGTGTCCTTGACTGACTTGGGGTATCTTAAGGTATAAATTACAGTGACTCAGTGCTTATCAGTGGTGTGTAGCTGGGATTCAGACACTGTCAAGGTCAACTGAATTTAGGAGCAGAAACTTGGTTTGAATCTCTAATTTTTTTATCATGAAATACCTGTAAGTTTGCTATTTTATAAATGTGTTCTTACATTATAGCTGTGCCCTAATAATTTTAGTTTGCATTTCTCAGATGACCAATGATGTTGAATATTTTTTCATATATTTATCTGCCTCTTCTACTTCATCTGAGAAGTATATG